ACCCGGACAGAACCGGACCAAGAATCAAATAACCGATAATTAGTATAGTAGGAAAGAGAGAATCAAAAGCACACCAAATAATAGGAAACAATTAACCGTTTTGTTTATTAAAAAACTAGGGATGATAAATTAGATAATATGTTTAACAACTAATTAGGAAAATGGATATTAGTTTTCATATAATACAACAATATTTTTTTCTCTAAAGTGGAAGAAAAGTTATAAGTAGAGTTATAAACAAACCGAACGTTTATCAATTCGGCCGTGTTCGTTCATTTATTTGGTTAAACTTAAACGAACGAATATAAACAAAATTTGTATTCGTGTTCATTCGGTTCATTTAGAACTTTCGTTACCAGAGTTTGTATCTTATTATTATAGTGAGTTTACCTTAAAAATATACATCTGTTTATATTTAACAAATTATCAAACAAACTTAGGTTATCAAATATTAAATCAATAACAAATAATTTTATAATATTAATGTTATTTATTAACTTCAGATTGTTATTTCTTAGGTTAAGATACATTTTTTATTTGTTAATTATTTAAAAATTACTAAAATGACAAAAGACTAAATACAAAATAAAAACATTGAAGTATGTATATTTTGAAGATCAATCCAAATAAAAAGGTCAAAATGAAGAGTTTTTTTTAAGCAAATGGTGTTTTTTAAAAGGGAATATGACTTCTTGAGGTAATTAACTTTTTGGTTCGTTCATATTTGGGTAACTATCTTTTTTTTACACATCTAAGTAACAAACTTGTTGGAAGTGTTCACATATAACCATTATGACCTGCTGTAGCAGGTTACATCCGGCTACAACAGGTCATAGTGGTCATATATGAACACTTTCAACAATTTCGTTACCTAGATGTGTATAAAAAAATAGTTACCCACATATGAACAAATCGAAAAGTAAGAGTAAATTACACGAATGGTCCCTGTGGTTTGGGGGAATTTGTGTGTTTGGTCCCTAACTTATTTTTTTAACTCGGACGGTCCGTACTATTTATTTTTGTTGTGCGTTTGATCCCCGTCTTACCTAAAACGACTATTATGCCCTTATTAATTTATTTTTTTTAATTAATTTTTTTATGTATGTATTTATTTTTTATATATTTAAAAAAATTAATAGACCCACATATCTGTATATCGTCACGGTAAACCTAAAACCACATTTGAGAAATTTAATCTGGGTCCCACCGGTCACCATCCCATCTCTCATTCTCATCAACTTCTATTTCCTTTCCATCTTTAGTGACATCGACGTCTTCATCATCCTTCTTTTTTGGTACTTCAACTCCGGCGAACCAACACCATAACCCACTGTCTCTTCATCTTTAGTGGGTTGTGGTATTGATTCGCCGGAGTTGAAGGACCGAAAAAAGAAGTGATGGTGAAGACGTCGATGTCACTAAAGATGGAAAAGAAATAGAAGTTGAGGAGGATGAGAGATGGGATTGTGAGGAGATACATATATGTGGGGTTTATTAATTTTTTTTTAAATATATAAAAAAATAAATACATAAATAAGAAAATTAATTAAAAAAATAAATTAATATGGGCACAATAGTCATTTTGGTAAGACTGAGACCAAGCGTACAACAAAAACAAACAGTAGGGATCGTCCGGGTTAAAAATAAATAAATTAGGGTCCAAACACACAAATTCTCCCAAACCACAGGGACCATTCGTGTAATTTACACTTACTTTTCCTTTTGTTCATATTTGGGTAACTTTTTTTGTACACATCTGAATAACGAACTTGTTGAAAGTGTTCACATATAACCATTATGACCTAGTGTAGCCGGATGTAACCTGCTACAGTAGATCATAATGGTAATATGTGAACACTTCCAACAAGTTTGTTATCTAGATGTGTACAAAAAAAAATAGTTATTCAGATGTGAACAAACCGAAAAATTAATTACCTTAATAAGTAATATTCACTTTTTAAAAACATACTTAACAAGTAGGTGTTGTTTTGAAAGTATTTACCATTTAGGGTTGAAATCTATACCAAATCAAAATTAAAAACAAAATCAAAAGAAAATAAAACAACCCCGACCACGTCGTCTGCCAACTGCCCTGACTTGACTTCACGTCGTCTTCTCAATTCCAACCACAATCAAACGTCGGGACTGCACATCCGTCCGCAAGGTTTGATTTCTGGGAAAATACTGGGTATAGACATTATTTGGGGTTGAATTCCAAAATATAGACACAAATCCGGGAATAGACATGGATTCCGCGGAGGTAGCTCCGCGGAATCCACTGTAGCTTCGCAGAATGGCAAAATCGTAAATAAATGAGGAAATTAAAAAAAAAAAAAACTCAAGATCCATTCCGTGGAGCTACAGTGGATTTCGCGGAGCTCCGAGGAATGGATCTTCAGAAAGAAAAAAAAATCTCCTCCAATGATTCTTTTATGTAAAGATTTCCAATTAAAAGACCAATTTTTTTTCCACCTCACATTCATTCCAAACATTGTCAAGAAAAATTCATATTATCATAATCTTTTCTTGAAAATAATTAGTTGGGCAATGAATATAAACTCCAAAGAATCGATTTGAAAAAAAAAAAAAAAAAAATCTGAAGATCCATTTCTCGGAGCTACCTCCGCGGAGCTCCGCGAAATCACCTATAGCTCCGCGGAATGAATCTTGAGTTTTTTTCCCCTCATTTATTTACGATTTTGCCATTCCGCGGAGCTACAATGGATTCCACGGAGCTCCGCGGAGCTACCTCCGCGGAATCCATGTCTATACCCGAAAATTCAATTTTTTTGTGTCTATATTTTGGAATTCAACCCCAAATAATGTCTATACATGGTATTTTCCAAGGTTCTAAAAAGCTCGTCATGGCTCCGCCATGGCACGCCATGGCTCCAAGGCTTGTATGTGCCGCCAAGCTTTACCAAAACGCCGTCATGACTCATATATGTGTATAAAAATGAATAATAGTAGAAAACACATATAAAAATATGAATTATATACAAAATTGCCGCCTTAAGTCACGCCTTACAAACGACGTGGCTCGCCAAGCCTCGGAAAAGCTTGAGGCTTGACATTGCCGCCAAGTCACGCCTTACGTTATTTAGAACCTTGGTATTTTCCCTTGATTTCTATTTGATTATGGTTCGATTTTTCCATGATTTCAGGTTCGATTTTTGAACTTTCATCTTCGATTTCTGACTTAATTAGGTTTATTGAATACAAATTGAATGGAGAATGGATAAGTTACCTGAGAATTGCTTAGAGAAATACTCTTTTCAGAGAGGATTTGGGTGATATGAACATTGAGATTATGAGAAATACTCTTTACAAGACATACCTTGAATATTTGTACCCGTTTGCCAGGTAAGCAAGCATCTTTTGCTTATGAATATCACCATAAACAAGTTCTGTCATTATTAAAAAGTACTTCATGTTATTATTTACGTTCATGGCTTATTACTCTTTTGTTTTATGGTTTCTATACACAACATTGGAACAGAGCTTGGAGATTGTTCATATTAAGCAACGTTTTACTCCTCCCTTCTTGTATCAAATCAAACATGATGCTAACATAACTACTATGGCCATTCAATTACATATTCTTGCCTATTCAACAAAGATGAAAGGCAAGGCACCCAAACTAGTAGCTACATCCATGGCTAATGTAAACAAAGCAACAATAGTCACTGAAACCATGTTGTTTCCACTTTTTTTTATCATTTTCATTGTTAATGGTGTTAAACACTTCACATAAATTGTTTCCATCTATAACACTTCCTATGGTGTCCTTTAGTGGAGCAGTAATTAGCCTTTGTTTGGTAGTCTTGTTTTCTGAATCTACTGTAGTAGAAGTACACTAGTGAAAATATAAAGAATATCAGGAGTTGCTTATGTCCCAAACCTATTGTGCTCTTGTTGTTCCTTGTTCCTATCAACAGATCAAAAACATTAATTTGAACTGAAATTTTATCCTTTCTTAATGAAATGAGACATATGATGTTTGTAAACAAATTTGATAGAATTTAATAGCAAAAAAGTTAAACAACTCAAAAAAGTATATTTTAGGAGGATCCCTTCATAAATAGTATAATAATATATTGAGTGATTCACCAAAATTTAAGTAACTATTTTGTTTTGGTTGAAATAGCTTTGCATTATTTTTAGTATCTAAAATAGTTTTTTTTTTTTTTTTTTTTTTTTTTTTTTTTTTTTTTTGGATTTGAGTGATGTATTATCCTTATTTTTTTTTCTCATATCAACTAAACACTTTTCAAAAATTATCTTTACCTTTTAAATCTAAAATGTTTACTTTTTTTTTTCCAAACTAAATGGCACCGTTTATGCATTTGTATCATAATTTACTACGTTTTCATTATGTTCTTTTTTTGTTGTTACTTTTTGTTGGATTTTAATAAAACCAAACATTTTCTCAAAATTACAGACTTATTTTTTGGATTTATGACGTGTTCTTGAAATTTCGGAGTAATTGTTTTTCTTGTTTATGTGAAATGCTTAGTCCGAAATTCAAAATCCTTTTTTTTTCTTTTTTGTTAGAAAAAGTATGTATGATGTAACAAATTCTAGTCCGAAATAGACTTATTTCAAAAATGATCATTTTTGCTAATAGCTTAAAAGTTTGTTATAAAGATATAATCTCATATTTCAGATTTTGTAATTATTCCTTAAATAGTTAAATTTCAAATCATATCTCATTCAATATCTCTTTGAAAGAGATATAAAGCAAATATATATAGAAGAGTACAATTACATATCATGCTAAAAAGTATTAAATGTGTTTATATAACCATGTTATATGTAAGTACATAATATAACACATTCAAAATGCATCTCTACATAAACTTTGACCAAAAACCTACTAGATCTCTTCCTCCCTACCAACCCCCAAAAAGATGACTAGGGACCAAAAATGTTAGGTAATGACCTTGATGTACAATAGCCTCCACAAATTGACTAAATTGCCCTTTTCATTAAATTGTTTTCATCTTAATATTATATTGCCACCTAACTCCTCCTCCCTCCTTCCTCTCTCGTACCGAACACACTGAAAAGTAAAAACATAGCAGACTTCAGACAAGAGAAGCCTTTGAAGTTTGAAGAATCCTTCAAAACAAAGCTTTCGTCATCTTCATCTTCAACGTCCCTCTTCATCGTTTTTCAGTCAATCAAAAATGGATCCTAAACAACAAGATTCAGAAAACCCAGATGCACAAACACCTTCAGACCATCAATCTCACCTCCCCATTCTTCCTTTCACATCCATTACACTTTCTCTCCCTAAACTCCTTCCCACCCACTTCGTCTCTCCACCCAAAAATCTCAAAATCCCTGCCACCGTCAAAATTCCTACTCAAATCTCCTCCCTTTTCAACCTTTCTCTTTCCTCTACTCCCCTCCCCCCTACCAAATCCATATTGAAATCAACCGTCTCTGCAAACCCTCTTCAAAACCCGTTAGCTTTAAACCCACGCCGCCCCTCTGACCCATCGAACGCCGCTGGTCTCCGCCGTGCCTCCATTGTCTGGTTCCGTAACGATCTCCGTGTTCATGATAATGAATCTTTGACTTCCGCCAACAATGAATCCATTTCCGTTCTACCAGTTTACTGTTTTGATCCTAGAGATTTCGGGAAATCCTCATCTGGGTTCGATAAAACTGGACCCCATCGTGCATCTTTCTTGATCGAATCAGTTTCTGATTTGAGAAAGAATCTTCAGGCAAGAGGGTCGGATCTTATAGTCCGAATTGGAAAGCCCGAAACTACTATAGCGGAATTGGTGAAGGAAATTGGGGCAGAGGCAGTGTATGCCCATAGGGAAGTGTCTAATGATGACGTTAAAGGTGAATCAAAGATTGAGACTGCATTGAAAGATGAAGGGGTGGAGATTAAGTACTTTTGGGGAAGCACATTGTATCATATCGAAGATTTACCATTTAAATTGGAAGAAATGCCAACAAATTATGGTGGATTTAGGGATAAAGTGAAAGGTATAAAGGTAAGGAAGACCATTGAGGCTGTTGATCAACTGAAAGGATTGCCATCTGGTGGTGATGTGGAGGCTGGTGAGATTCCATCTCTGGTTGATTTGGGTATGAATCCTACCGCTACTATGAGTCAGGTATGAACAGTTTAAAACTTGATACTGTATTTGTTAAAAATTGAAAAGATGTGATAATATGATCGACTGTTGTTGTTAGGTGAAACCTGTTGTAAATGCTCCTGTTGTTGGAGGTGAGACTGAAGCAATGAAGAGGCTTAAACAGTTTGCAGCGGAATGTGAAGCACAGCCTCCAAAAGAAACAAAAGATGGAAGTAATGATAGCAGCAGCAGCAGCATATATGGTGCAAATTTCTCCTGCAAAATCTCCCCATGGCTTGCAATGGGATGTGTTTCTCCTCGTTCCATGTTTGATGAGTTGAAGAAGTCTGCTTCCAGTTCCAGGTATGTGGCTATACTTTGCATGGTGTTGGTGTTTTTTAACCTGCATTACTAACGGAAAAAAAGTTAAATTTAGAAGGGTTTCTTCTGGCTCAAATGGTAAAGATGGTGATGGGATGAATTGGTTGATGTATGAGCTCCTATGGAGGGACTTTTTCAGGTTAGTCAATTCAACTGATTTAAGCAAGCTGTCAAAATGTTTTAAATGTCGTATGATTAGTTGTATGAAATGATTTAGAAGGTTGTAAGGATTTGAATACACTTGCTTAGGTATAGCGACTTTGAACTCAAATGATATGTTGGAGATGACATATATAATAAGTTAAGTATATAACGGACCTAAATCGACCCGACCCGACACGTTTAGCTTATATACTTTTTTTTGGTTTTTGTTTGGTCATATATAATAAGTTAAGTAACACTAACACACTTTTTTTTTTTTTTTTTGGAACTGCAGATTCATTACCAGGAAATACAGTTCGTCGAAACAACAGAAAATTGCTCCAGTGACAGTCACTGTGTAGCTTACACGGTGGAGGGTGTCATTTCATGTACGATTTTTTATTTTTGTTTGGTCATTGAACTTCCAAAAATTTGGGTTATTTGATCAAAAGATAAACAATCAGTAGTACATTTTATGTATCTTTAATAGTTTTTTTGGTTTTGCCTTGAAAATGAAAGGACAGTTATTGGTGGTATATCACCAATCTATTCTGTTCCTCAAACCATTGATTGAAAATTTATTATGTGTCCTGATTATCATTTGGTTGATTTGTATGACCCTATAGTTTTTGTTTTTTTAGACAAAAACTTCACAAATGATCCTTGTGGTTAGCTAAAAATTGTCACTTTGGTCCAAAAAGGTTTGGACTAGCACCAAAGGTCCAAACTTTTCATTTTGTTGCGAATTTGGTCCAACTTGTTATGAATTTTTTTAAAATGACGGTTTTGCCCTCTGGATTTTTATTTTCTATTTTCTCTTTTTCATTTTTATTTCTATACTTATAAAAAACAAAAATAAAACATTACACCCTCTCCACCCTCTCTATTACAAAGAAAAACATCACCACCACCACAGGTTGTCACTGCCGCCACACAACGATCACCGGAGCACCAACATCTCGCCGCCACGACGGAGATTTGGATCTGCTGGTTGTTCGACAAGAAAAAGAGAGAGAAAGAGGGTGAAAACAGATCTGAAAACTTAGGGTTTCGTAAAACTAGAAGGGTGGCGGCGCTAGGGCTTTTGCTATGTAGACACCTCGTCGGAGAAGAAGAGAGACGAGCGGTGTGATGGTTCCGAGTTCCGACGTCTGAAACTAGAGTTTTATCGAGCCACAGACGTCATCGTCATCGCCGATGACGAACAGAATAAAGGCGTCGTCAGATGAGAAGATAAAAGACAAAGGCGATGATGATTCCGACGAAAATCAAATAGAAAGAGGGAGAGATTGAGTCCGTTTCTGACAGATCTACGTCGTCCTTAGGAGGGTTTCTTGTTCACCGGAAAAAATATTTCTCGGATTTTGCAATTGATTTCTCGATTTCTGGCAAACCCGACTCAGTTCATCTATCTTCTCAGTTCATCCTTCGCCCTTCGCCCCTTTCTCAGATCTATGGCACCAGAAACCCTAGCCTCAAACATCGAAACTCGCTTCGTCGGAAGCCTCCATCGCCGGTGGTGGTGGCTGGTGGTGAAGGAGATGAGCAACTTTTTGTGTGAAACGAGAGAGAGAGAGAGAGAGAGAGAGAGAGAGAGAGAGCATTTTATTTTCTTTTTTCTGTTATAAAAAATTATAAAAATAAAACAAAAAAGGAAAATTTTCTTTTTTATTTTTCTTTTAATCAGAAAAAATATTTAAATAATAAAAAAACAGAAAAAGGAAAAAGCAAGGGCAAATTCGTCATTATGAAAAAGTTCATAGCAAATTGGACCAAACTCGCAACAAAATGAAAAGTTTGGACCTCTGGTGCTAGTCCAAACATTTTTGGACCAAAATGACAATTTTGAGCAAACCACAGGGACCATTTGTGCAGTTTAGTCTTTTTTTTAACATCTAGACACTTTTATAATCTCCTTGTAAGAGGGTGTTTGGGGTTGCTTTTAAAATAAGTTTTGGCTTTTAACTTTTCCAAAAAGTTAAAAAAATGCCAAAAGGTGTTTGGATAATTCAAAAGATCTTCTGGAAATGATTTTTGGCAAAGAAGAAAATAAGGAGTTTCTAAAAGTCACAAAACCTGATTTTTTGTTGTTTTACCTATAAAAGTTAAACTAAAAATCATTTTGTCAATCCAAACACTTTTTAAAGACCTTCTTTTGCAAAAAACAATTTTACAAAAAGTCCTTCTAAAGTAATCACAAACACCCTCTAAATTACAGCAATGCCCCTCGACCCAAGTACTTGGATTGAAGGAACACCATAGGGCTATAAGTTTGATATAGGTGAAATCCGTTTGATCATTCTAAGAAATACTGCTAAATGACCAAAAAATTTGTCATGTCTTGTCAAACACAGTTAGAACTGATTAAATAACCCAAGATTTCTTAATATCCCTTCTCCAGTTTCGGTTTCGATGTAAAATGATTAATACAAAAATATAGATTGAAATTTTGGTAAAAGAAATAAACGGAAATGTGTTGTAAACCAAATGGGAATTAATATGTTTAATAATCTTTATGATACAATGGTCAAAGAGGTCAACCAAATAGTAACCACCATCCAAAGTGCTATGTTTCCACCAACAATCGCTGTTGGTTTGCTTTAATTTCGCTTCTCAACTTGCTTTTGCTAGTGCCCTTTTTCACTCATCCACAATTACAATTTTACGCTTCTTCATCTACCTTTAGGCCTTGGGCAGCATTGCATACAGTCTTTAAAATTGCATACATCATTTTCGTCGAGAGTCTAACTCTGAAGGGGATAGATTGTCTTCATTGGGGGAATTGTAATATGTGTTCGTCTTATTCATCATTTTCTTCTTTAGAAGTCTAGAGTGATCATTCTCCATTGGCCAACTACTTCAATCCAGTTTCAGGAAATAGTGGTCATCAAACTAAACAGTCATTCACTATATTAGCATTAACTAACGCACTTGAGTGACTATGTATATGTCCATGGATTAATGATGAACCATTCGTGAATAAAGGTAATCCGTGAACTGTAAACAATCAGTTGTAGTTGATGGACAAGTCCTTTGATGGTGTTGGTTAAGTGCATAGGAGCTGAAACATGATTTTCATGTATGTTTGTAGGTACATGGATCTATTGGAGTGCAGTAAGGAACCATTGTTTCTTAAGGAGGTTATGTTTTGTTGATCTAGTAATGGAAGATTATTTAAATAGATTGGTGATACTAGTGAATTTTTGTACCCATCAAATCACTAAACGTGGTTTAAATTAAAAAAAAAGGTTATTAAACTAAATATTTTTTATTCAAGACGGTCACTAAACATTGTTAGTGTCGTTCATAAAAGAGCCACTTAAAAAAAAATTAAAAAGCTCAATGACTTTTCAAAGCTTAAAAAAAGTTTAGTGATTGAATATGAAAAAAAAAATACAAAATCAAAATGTCATCATTGGCTTTTCAATAGTAGATTTGACGTCGAGGGCGGTGGATATATAGACTTTAATGTCCAAAAACACAAAATCAGATTAACACAGCAAGTGTAACTAGCAAAAGCACATAGAATGTAGCCACACTTCTAATGCAAATTAATATTTCAAAATCCAAAGACAATAGAAACTGAGATGATAATAATAAGTCTAAGAAGCCAAAAACAAAATCCATGCCAGAAAAAAAAAACAAAGTAATCTCAGTCTTCCTCCTCACCCTCGTTCTCAGCAATGTTGAAGTATCTTAGCTCATATACGTTACGGTCCTTGTTGGAAGCAATCACACGGAGCCAGTCCCTCACATTGTGCTTCTTCAAGTATTTTTTTGTCAAATACTTCAGGTACCTGAACATTCATAAAATATGTCACAAAAAATAAAGTAACTGATCAGCAATCAAAAACTTATATATATTGTCTTTATTGTCTACTAAAGAAAGAAAAACCTTTTGAACCAAAATTATTGTCTTCAATTCTTAGCAATAATGACAATGGGCAAGTAAATGTTTCTTTAGATTATTAACTTAACGTGTAAAGAGGAAATTGCAAATTCTAACAAACATCCCTACATGATATGGTTACCGATTTCATGGGATAGGGGAGAAATTATATTCATCCACAATATCATAGGTCCACTCAATACAGTATACGTGTGTAGGTACTTAGTATCCTATTACAAATATCTCACAGTTGATATGCAGTTATAGTTACAACTTCTGATTTCATTAATGTTACAAGAAAAAACAAAAAACATGTGTGGTTATATAACATTCAATGAGGAAAAGAGACTGCAGAAAGAAGAAGTAAAAAAAAACACAAAACCAATTGAAATAATGAAATATGAGACTCGAATTCCAAACGCGCATCAGAGATTATTATAATCTTACAAAATTATGTTAGTAACAGCAGCAAGAGAGAGATTATCATGTAACAGCATAAATTTAGACAACTAAGCAAACACATCAGCATTATAACTTCAAAACGAAATTGTCCGGAACATAAACATCAACAAGATTGTGATAACTTGGCTAGAAACTCAAATCAACCGAACAATGATGAGCAAACTATGGAAATAACTGAACCAGTTTAAGGAATGATGAGTACCTTTTGGAGAAGTTGCTGTCTGATGTGACGGAGATCTTGTTCTTCTCACGAGAAATAGTAACTGAATCACCGAGATTACCAGCTTTACCACCGACTTTGATTCTCTCTTGAAGAAACTTCTCGAGTGAGGCTATTTCCATAATCTTATCCTCAACAGGCTTCCCACAATCAATCACAAAAGTTGCTGACTTCTTCTTTCCCCCCTTTGCTCCGGCACCTCCTGCTCGACTCATCTTCGCTTCTTTTTCTAAATCTCCCTCTACAAATAACAACAATAAAATCAACAAACCGCAAGATTGAATAACAATTCAGATGTCTGAAAAGGATCACATACAGAGAAGGATAGAAGATTGGCTGTGCGTGCTTCGAAGACGGCGAGCTGCAACCTATGAATGTGAAGATTGGCGCTATAAGGCGACGGGAAGCTCTTTAGGGTTTTGTGTTGTTGGTGTTATTATGTGAGTTGGATCGTTTATAGGCTTTCTATTGGGCCCAGCTTTGTGAGAATACAACCCACTAAAAATATACCATAAACCAGTTAGGAAATTGTTAAAAGAAAACAAAAGTGTATTCATATGGATTGATATTTCTTAGAATTATATTTTAAGTATTAATTATTACTTCAATTCAAAATTAAGAAATTGTTGTTATCCAGCTCATATAAGTATATGACTAATGCCGCTTCTTAATCTTAAAGAAAGTATATTAATCGTTCACCTCAAATTATATGGTTTTTGAATTGTATAATTTAATAGAATACTTTTTGACCGGATATTTATATTATCGATATGAAGTAAATTAAGTCGATTCTACACTCTATTAACCAGTATAAATGATCAATTTTTATACAAAAAGACAAAGTAAACAAAGATGGTATATATTTTTGTGATTATTGATGGTTTGTATTAGGTTACTTATAAAAGCTTAAAAATGATGTAAATAATATGAATATTTGACAGTTTGTCTAGATAAAACAAATAAACACCCCATAAAAATTATGTGATCATTTTACCTGTTTTGTTGTTTTGAATGGAACAATACGCCTTCATGATTCCATCGTTTAATTGGATGAAAAGATATATATGCTCATGTATTTTGATGACAAGAGGCGTTACTACCACATTCATAAAAAAATAAATGATTACTCGAGACTTTAATATTTTTATTTGCAAAAATTATCAGGCATTTTAACTTTTTTGTCTTCTTAAAACTACCTAAATATTTATATCATAATTTGATTAAAGCAACAATAATTGTATTCAACTATATGATTTTAAGATATGAATATATTATTATACCCATGCATGTAATTAAGAATATGGAAAGAAAACTAACATATGTATTAATAAACTTTCAAGATATCATTTAATGTTTTGAGTTGATCTTTCAAAATATAATTTTACATATAAAAGCTAGGGGTTTCAAGTTTACAAGAATTTTAGCAAATCTTTAAATCCAGGAAGAACCAATCACTAGACTAAAACAATAATCAAAGTCTAGCAAATCATCATAAGTTTTAACAAAACCAAGATTTCCACTCTCTTCTTCACAAGTCTAACAAGTCTAACTGGTTCCAACCACAAATAATAGATCCAGATTCTCATTCCACGACATGTTTCTGCAACAACAGGTGAATGTTTTATCAATGATTAGAACACATATATATGAAAATAAAAGATAATTTAAACACTCGAGAATGAAGAAAGATGCTTGTGTCACTTGGGATTTCTGAGTACAATGATGACAGAATCCCCTCTGAGAAACATCTTGCTAATGAATATGTCTTTGTTAACTATAAGTGCTTTCTTCTTGCATAGTTGCATTCCCCTGTCTTGGGTACCTGATGTAGCACAAAAACATTTTATCAGAATACAAACTACACAATAACGTTGTTTCCTTTTTAACTTTACTTATAAAAAAACAATACAAAACCTCGGTCCACATCTCTCTAACATTTTCTAGCACCATATTACAATGCCGATCAAAGGCTCTCACACGTCCAAGAAGCTTTTTATTGTTTCTGCAATTGATGAGCACGTACCTGGGGGAATATGAGCAACACTCATTACAAATTACAAAAATGCCATCCGTATATAACAAAAGACCAACCTCACAAAACCATATTATATATATATATATATATATATATATATATATATATATATATATATATATATATATATATATATATAGGGTTTAGATCGGTTGACAACTCAAAGTTTCCCGAGAACCCGAGAACTAAAAGTGGAGCGTTGGATCAAAAGTAATTCGTTAAGAACATGATCGTCATCTTACCAATCTCATTTAATGTTTAATTTTTTTATGTTATTTAATATATTAATATAAATATCTAAAAATTAACAAAATAACTCAAAATTTCGGGTTTATTTTTTTTTTAAAAAAAATAATTTCCGATTATTTTAAAAAATTGAAATTTTTTTCAAAAAACATGAATTTAAAAAAAAATGAAAAAAAAAATATTTTTTAAAAAACTGCATCATTTTTTCAAAAAAAACTGCATATTTTTTCAAAAAAAAAACTGCATTTTTATAGAAAAAAACTGTATTTTTTTTTTCAAGAAACTGCATTTTTTTTCAGAAAAGCTGCATTTTTTTCAAAAAAAAAAAAAAAAAAACTGCGATTTTTATAAAAAAAATGCATTTTTTTTCAAAACTGCATTTTTTTAACAAAAAAATCAACGTTTTAGGTGCATATATGCATATTTTTTCAAATGCATATATGCATATTTCTTATACTATAATATTCGTAAGTAAATTATAAAAAATCTCATTTTTATTAATCAATCTATAAACATAATACAAGTATTTTATTCGATACAAAATAAAATATAAAAAAATACAAAGATTCACAGTGTTATCATTTCTTCATATCAAGATTTCCATATTTTCTTCAATTTATCACTTTTCACCTCTTCAATATTTTCCAAAAATTCTTCAAAATCTACAGGAAAATAAAAAAAATGATTAATGCAAGAACACGCACATGTATATATCATGTAAGATTCACATGTGATTATATAATGTGATATTCACATGTGATTGTATCTTTTAAGATTTAAATGTGAAATTCACAAGAAAATTTTAAAAAATAATTAACGAAGAACACTTACACAAAATGCATGTGTGCATATAGACGTAATTCATATGTGATTCACTTGTGATTTACATGTGAATCACATGTAATTGATATGTGATTCACTTGTGATTTACATGTGAATTACATTTGATTAATATGTGAATTACATGTGAATCACATGTAATTCATATGTGATTTACATGTGAATCACATGTAATTCATATGCGAATTACATGTGAATCAAATCTAATTCATATATGAATTACATGTGATTCATATGTGAATAAGATGTGATTTACATGTGAATCACATGTAATTTATATGTGAATAACATGTGAATCACATCTAATTCATATATGATTTACATGTGATTCATATGTGAATAACATGTGATTTACATATGAATAACATGTGATTTACATATGAATAACATGTGATTTACATGTGAATCACATATAATTCATATGTGAATAACATGTGATTTACATGTGAATCACATGTAATTCATATGTGAATTGCATGTGTATCACATGTGATTCATATGTGATTTACATGTGAATCACATGTAATTTAGTTAATAAGTTTCGAAAAAAAATCAAGAAGAGAAGAAAAAACGTTACACAAGGGATTTTCTAGAAGGTTGTCATTGTTGGTTCCAACATCAATCATGATAGGAAAACCTATTACAATGAAAAAAAGGAAAAAGATATATGTTTGCAAGTGAGAAATTTTAGAAATATGTATATATATTGAGATGGATAATGTGCAAACATTACTCTTTGAGGATTTATTCCAGCTGCAGCAACATATAAATCCAACTTCCCAATTGCAATTCCAATACCCTTAACTCCAAGATCACCAAGACCCATTATTCTGCTTCCATCTGTAACAACAATCATATCAACCTACAAAATTTGCAAAAAGGTTTTGAAATTTGAACACAAGCACTAATGTATCTATATCGAATAATTAAAAAAAAAAGAATCATATCTTTTATTTAAAAGTAGAGTACCTGTTCAGCAGGCCAATTATAAACCATTGACATCATTTCTCTATGGCATTTTAATGTGAAATTTTTACTACTTTGTTGTTCATCAAGATGATGCACACCTACCTTCCTTCAATGGATCCCACCTATAAACCAAAATTAAACATTATTTCAGTTTACAGATATATTTGTTTTATTAAAATAGAAGAAATAATATGATAAAAGACATACTAAGAAACCTTGTTGATCAGGAAAGGCAACAACACACCTAGTTTGGTATTTATTGTCAAAAGTTTGATGAATATTGTTGTATAGGATCCGGAAATAAACCATTTTATTTTTTCTTCATAAACTATGTCTACATGAGGTCGCCTTGGTCATTATACTTTAAAAATTATACCCAATTATACTTTAAAGCAAACAATCAGCTGTATAAAGCAAACAATCAACTGTATCTTATCGAAAAAATCACAGGTATCCTCACAAATTATATGTTTAAAAATGGTCTCTTTTGGAACATAGAAGCATGCATCTGTTCAGGTAAAGAGTATGTGAAACTCACCTACACGTTTAAAGGATATCAGAGGAGAGAAAACAAGGAGGGTTGTTAGAAGCAGCAAGACAGAACGTGTAGTCCACCATTGCTGACCAAACCATTCTTGCATCACTCTTAAATGGTGTTCGTGTTCCCCTTCAGACCATGTTCCAGATAGTACATCACCTGTCATCACCACTCACCACCTTTAATAACTAACATCACACCATTTAAACTCCAAATCTTAACTAACAAGCACCCACTCAGTAATCTGTTATAGTCTATTCAGTTTTCATATTTATGGAAAATTACAGATATATCATAAGTGTCATGGACAAGGACAATTCATCTATCATGAATTGTTTTCTTCTCTTTCAAATTTGTTTGGAATTGTCAATCTAAAATTGAATTTTACATTGTATAAAATAAAACCTATGTCCCCTTGAAAAGAATAAAAATGTCATCTTCAGTCATTAAAAAGGAGGAGAAAGAAAGATAATAACTGAAGAACAAGTCGATTCATAAGATATGGAAATGAAATTGACTCATGTGTTGTAGGTTATGCTAACTTGAGAAACCTAATTTGGTATATTAAAAAAATCAAAAGTCACAATTGGAGTCCATTTTGGGAAATAATTGTTCCAAAATAAGAACCTCATCAAGTATAAAGCAAACAATCAACTGTATCTTATCGAAAAAATCACAGGTATCCTCACAAATTACAGATAAACGTAACATTCAAGGACTTGAAACCTAATGAGATAAGTCGGTTCAATGTCTCCATTACCATCTAAAATTGGACCATGGAAAGAAGAGTAAAGTCGTAATTCGAGTTCCTCAATTGTTACCTGATTGATTACAGCCATGGCTTCCTCCGTTTGCTCTGATTTTCTTTTCCGAAGACAGACTGAGCGAAGAGGAACACAAAGGTTTGTAACTTGAAGTCGAATTTGGTTTTCCAATTGATTAACGATGGGAAAAACTCACCTGTGATCAGCGAGATAAAGCCGCTCATATCATCGATGTCGGACAGACTCTGGATTGAACGGACGGTGTTGCTGCTTCAGAACATCGAGTCGTCCTCTGGCTCGGAGACCGGAAGCTCAGAGGCGAAGGAGAATCGGGAGGTTCGGATCGATCGGACCTCTAGCTGATTTATTAGGGCACGAAACTTCAAGAGGGAAGAATGACGCAACCACCGCGATGTTAAATATATCAATCATCGGAGAATCTTCAATGAAGGCGATAAGCTGTGCGTGTTTTCAAGCTTCGGCAATGAGAGAGAGATGACCTTGAGCTCTCTTAGATCTTGTCCAATTTCTCATATGTTATTCGTTTCTGATGATTTCTGGTTCTCTAATTGCCATTTTTGGTAGCGTATTGGAGATTGGGGGTAGGCTTCTTTGAGCAGATCTAGGTGGCTGCGGGAGTGAAGAACTTCAAATCGGTAGCGTTCGTTACAAATGGTTGGGACTTGGGATTGGATTGTTCATCGCCGCCGTGAAATTACAACTCTTGATGCAGTTGTTACAACCACGTGAAATCCCTTTGGGGGAAGGATCGACGATGAAGTTGTAAGAAAAAGAGAGATGACGGACAAAGACGATCGAGGGATTTGAGAGACGCATCGATTAATTTGGGGGGAATAATCTCTTCAGTACCGTAAATGCCCTTCGATTGATTTTTGAACAATACCCCCGTGTTTAATTTTCTCATTTATTTACATAAATGCCATAAAATATCTTAGTCCTTCATTTTTTTAATCTGACGGTCCACTTTTAGTTCTCGGGTTCTCGGGAAACTATAGGTTCTCAAATGATCCTTCCTCTCTCTCTCTCTCTCTATATATATATATATATATCTATATATCTATATATATATATATTATATATATATATTCTATATGTTTAGGTTCTATGGAAAACAAAAAACCCTAAAATAAAAAAAATGCATAAAAAAAATACTTAGAGATCACAAAACTTTTTTTTGATTTTTTTTATAAAAAATCGCAGCTTTTTCTTAAATTCGCTGAAAAAAAATAAAAAATCATTTTTTTTATAATTTTTTTTTTCAAATTTTTTTTCAGCGGATTTGTATAGAAAGCTGCGATTTTTTATAAAAAAATTCAAAAAAAAAAGTTTTGAGATCTCTAAGTATTTTATTTATACAATTTTATGATTTTTAGGGTTTTTTTAGGGTTTTTTGTTTTCCAAATAACCATTCCCTATATATATATATATATATATTATATATATCTATATATATATATATATATATATATATCTATATATTATATATATTACATGCGTGTTATTTTTCACACTCATCATCAAGACAGAAAGGGCCCTGTGTTGAACTCCTCTTCCTCATTTTTGGTCTACCAAAAATTTCAATATGATCATTATAATTTTTAATAAAATTTTTCCATACAAAAGAGAAAAAATTATATCAAAAGTTTAAGGTTAAAAGAAAAAACAGTTAATGTTTCTGTCCTACAATACCATGTAGGAAAAGCATGATACACACTATATAACAACATAGGCAATTGTACATAAATGAATATCAAACGTAGAAAACTTTAACAAACATTTATAATTCAAAGAGAGTTTATTGATCATAACGGCATAATTAAAACAACACACTGAATATGAATATTGTTGTAGAAGACATTTGTAGACACATAAATGTATGGATTTCTATATGTATCACACTATCATGTATGTATGGATGAGATATAGAGTTTTAGTCTCCACCCCATATTTGTCTGGTATCAAACCAATTGTACTTCATAATATGTGTTCTTACAAGAATATGACATTATGAGTAGGAAACGTACATATTAGTGCACTTCTTCTCAAGTTAATTTTTTTTGGCTATGAACATCAAATAGCTTAGAAAACCATAGAATCAAAAGAACTAATCAACCTAAATTGATTGATAAAAAAGAACTTACTTGTCCATCTTCCCCCATTGGTCGACTGTAACAACAAAATGGAACTCGTCAATAACACCCATAAAACATAATTGTGTTTTAACCGTCTAATTAAACTCAATTTCGTAGGTAATTTACAGTTACATTACCTCATATTCAATTTGCGGAAAGTTGTGTGTCGGAAATATAGGGGATCTGAAATCGGAGAATCAAACTAGGGTTCAGGGGTATGAACATACAATCCATTTGCAAAAATGAGATGTAAATTGAGTCAACAATCTTTAGAAAGTAGAAAATGGTAACAAAATATAAAAAAACAAACTACATGGTTTGATCGAAGTTGTACCTCTTTCAACGACGCTAGGACGACGGAGTAGACCGTAGGGGGCACTTTGCAACTTGTTGAATAATAAAAGAGAAGCGAAACGAGAAAAGGCGTAAAGGTTCTATGTACCTTAAACCCTGGAGGGGTTTGATCGTTTGAGTATCACCAAAATAAATGGGTTGCACATACGTTTTTTTTTAACGGCAAATCTAACCTACTCATACACTACTCCTAAGTTCTCCTATGTCTCAAACGGGACTTGCACCTTCGACCTCAAGGAGGTTTGGGCAACACCTGGTACCGTTTGGCTAAGAGCCCTTTGGTGGTTGGCAGATACAAATCGATAATTAAATTGGATTGGTTAAGGCAAACTATTTCAATCTAATCGATCAAATTTCAACCTGATACGAACACAACACGACTCGAACCGTTTGGCATCCCTACTTTTGGTTGGTTTTAAAGTGGCTCGAAGGCTGGAACATACTTTAGATGATGCTAAGAGGTTGTCAGTCAACCTTCGTGAAGATCAGACCTGAAACAAAAAAGTTGAAATTTTAAAAATCTGAGAATTTTGAGTGATTTGCACGATTGAGTCACCCTATACCTTGGGCTGGACTCGACCGTGTTAAGTGAAAAGTCAAATAAAGTCAACCAGAGTAATTGAATCGGTCAATTAGATTCCAAGGGAAATTGTGTAATACATGTCTTTCGTGACTAGATATTATTTTAGAATATATAAAATGATATGAGGTGAGTAGAAGAAATAGAGTATGGAGTTACTTTAAATTGAGAAATGCTATTTAGAAAAAGATAACTGAGTAATGTTATAGAGCTTGTTGAGAGGATTTTGTGGATATAAAGATCGTCGAAAACGGAGTTCGTATGAGAAAGTTATGACCATTTGAAGTTGAGACGAAAGTACATTGCTATCTCGAGAAAGTCAACAGAAGTCAAGTCAATGGTCAACCTTTGACAACCACGAAGTGAACAATCAACTATCACGACATGAACAATGAGTCATCACGACGTGACCAATAGGTCATCACAATGTAACAGATGGCGAGTCACCAAGACACGTGGCTAGAGAGTGTGACATGTGGCAAGACCGAGATCTAATTGATCATCACGACGTGACACATATGTGTTCACGACGTAGCGCACTCCAGACTATAAAAACGAGATTTTTCGTGTCATTTGAGGATTTTTGGACACAGAAGATCGGAGATGCTGCCCGGGAGTTGTTTACGGGATATTATATCGGAGTTATA